TACAACCATGACACAAATGAAAAATGATTCTTTACTGATTTTATAATAAAACAAGATTTCTGCAAGCTAAAATACAAGTGGCTAAGCTAAAGAAGAATGTTTACATTAACAAATAATTCTTTTTGATCCTAATTATGATATTGTGGACTGTATAATTAAAAGCAAGATAAAATTTCATCATGGAAATTAGTATTATATTGTCAGTTATAATTTCTCATTATTTTGATAAGATCATTGGTCTTATTTTACTCTGTTTTTCCAGAAAGAGAGTAAAAACATTATTCTTGTTAGGTTTTGAGGTAAGCCTCTCTATTCCAGAAACGTTTAAATGCAACATGTACAAAAATATATAAGAAGTAGTAAAGGAGGAGGCATGTAGCAGTAAAGGGGGGCCGGCTGTAGGAAAGAGAGAATTCTACTCTCTGCCTTCTATAGTGAACGAAGATAAAATTACCAACGGGAGAGAGGGCAGGACCGAGGGCCCAGGCTTGTCACTGTTGATGGGGGAGATTACAGATAAACATGGTAATGGATTAGAAATGAAGTTATTGGTGTGAACCCTTGTTCAGTTTACTATAGGTGCAGATAGTTACATAAAGAAGTATTTACAGATATGTGTACTTATGAGGTTCATGTACCTACATAATTCCTTACTCTGTCAGCTGACATGGCCAATAAGCAATGACCCCAGGGCAGCAAGCTTGTGCGACACCTAGATCTTGGTTTCTAGTTAACATCCTCCAATAGAAGAAAACCACACTCTTTAGAGAAAGACCCAATTGTAAAAAAAAAATAGGGCCAGGAGACCTACAAGATGAGTCTGGACCACATTTTACCATTAGAAAGTAAGGAAATTCTCATTCTCTCTCTCATACACACACTTACACACACACTCACACACTGATGGGGGCATACTGAATGAATACAGGTGCCAACTGAAAGATCTTGCCAATGGTCAAAGTTGAACATATTAGAACAACAAAATAGATAAAGTAATATTAATTATAAAAGTAGATATCCAGTAATATATACCGATATAATAATGGTTAACTAAGTGATTTGAATGAAATAACTGGGGGAGGAAAAGACATCTCCTTGTCAGAATTCCACATCATTTATGTAACTACTTTACCCATAAGAACATAGAGCTAAACTATCCTCAAGTGTGGCCTATACTTGCTGGCTTTCTTCCAAAGAGAAGGAGGGTTTCATTGCAATGGAGAGACCCAGTACACGTGGCCTAAGGCAGGATGAAAAGGGCCCTGTTACCTTTGAGGTCTTCTGCCCCCAAACTTGGCATTTCAGCGTTACCATGAGGAAAATCGACAAATCCCAACTGGGGAACATTCTTAAAAATATTTAACCAGAGTACTCCTCAGCACTGTAAAGGTTATCCCAAACAAGGAAAGTCTGGGAATTCATCGCTGCCTACAGCACCCAAGCATCACAGTGACGATAAGGCACATAGTATCCTGAATGGGATCCTGGGACAGAAAAAGGAGACTGAGTAAGAACAAAGGACATCAGAACAAACTAAGGCTTCATAATAGTCAGTCAATACTGCTTTGTTACTCATAGCAAATGTGCCCTAACTTAATATGTTAATTATAGGGAGACTGGGTGTGTTATATATGGCAACTCTCTGTATTTAGAAGTTTTCTGTAAATATACAATTCTTCTAAAGTAAAAGTCTATTTAAAATTGTTGACAACATTTTCACCAAGTACAGTGAATATAATGCAGAAAAAAAAAAAGTGAATTGCAGGAGAAAACTGCCAGAGGAAAAAAGAATTCTGAAATTGTTCTTAAAGATTTTGACTCCAAAAGAAGACCAAATGGTCTGGTATTTTGTGTCACACCCTGAAGTCCATCCTTTTGAATAAAGTATATCTTTGGGGTATTTCAATTTACAATATATTATATCATAGAATTATTTGTGTTCATGTTACATCAGTCTTTATAAAAACCAAAGCAAATCCTTTGCTATCTAGAAAAATAAGCCACCACCTAACAAAAGTAAACAAATAATAATTAGATATGATGGAATATGGAAGGCATTTTGTATTAGCAAAGCATGACCTCCTGTCTTCAACATTTATTCTAGAAAAATAAATATCTTTGGGCCTTTATCACATAAGTAAAAAAAATCATAGTGACTTTCACTAAACTTTCTGCCCTCATCGTTACCTGCAACGTTCCCACCTGAGTGATTTTTTTTTTTCCAGGTTGTTCCCCAAACTAAAAGGCTTGCTTCTGCAGTCATAGCTGTGTCCCTCTGTTATCTTGTGAATTTAAAACAACTTCCAACTGTTGTTGATAGCTGTTTCTCCCATTTGGCTGCCAGCTTCTTAAATGCCAACAGAGCCATCATCTCTCCACAGAGTCTGCCATTCATTCACTCAGCCACAATCATTTATTGTGTCTACTCTCCCTTACCATAGAATACACAGGAGGGAGGGAGTGACAGAGAAAACTTAGCAACTAAATGTTAGTGTTGTGGGGAAACCTTTCCCAGCCAGGAGAGCTTTTATGAAGAAGAGGAAGGGGGAGATAGAAGGCAAGGAGGGAGGTGGGAAGGAGGAAAAGTATTGATAGAGCTTAGCTTATATCGTGCATGACAGAAGCCTGATGTCACAGCACTGATGTATTTGCATAACCAGTGTACGTACTTTTAAGTTAAAGATCCCTTTCTTCTACCACTGGGCCTGTTTTATATGATCCGGGACCCTGTGGTTTGTGGATAGAAAGCTGACTCTGGGTAAATAATCATTCACCCAGTAAATGAATAATCAATATTCAGTATTGATTCAATACTCATTGAATATTCAATGCTCTAAATTCAGTATTCAATTAATAATCACTGAATAATCAGTGTTTCTTTTTAAAAGGAAACATGAATGAGCGGTAAGTATTTAGAAGAAGGAAAAAAAGACAAGAAATGTCTTTTTCATGCAGATACCTGAAGCTGAAAACTGTGAAGTTACTGCATTGTTTCTTTAAAAAAGAATTTATATCCTTTTGAAATTTTTTGTTAAGCCAAAGCATATCATTTCCATGAACAGATTACACCCCAATTTATTTCAAATATCACTTTTGCCTATGGCTCTTATAGAACACTTGCTCTCCTATTTCTCTACTGTAGATTGGTTTAAATTCAATTTTCAAAAAAATCCGTGCCAAAAAATATTCTTAATTACTGTTATTGAACAATTTCTGGTCAGGCAGTTTTAAACCAATTTTTATGCCTTAATCTATACTCTGAATTCTTTTTTAAAGATTTATTTATTTATGCATACAGAACTGGGGTACAGGCCAGAGGCACAGGTCTGGTGAGAGGATTTACCAGAGACAGAGTGGGGAGCAAAACAGGCTGACTGAGGAGTACACTGCTGAGGGGAGCAGTGGACGGGTCAGGAGAAGTCTGCTGTGTCATGTGGATCACCTCTGGGGCTGGGGATCGAACTCATAGCAAAGTGGCTTTAGCTTCTTAGTGCTGTGCTTTAATCCACTGCGCTACCAGGGAGAGCCCTCTCTGAAGTTTTTTGATGCAGGTCTTTTCCACAGCATGCTTGACATCTTGTGATCCATTTACCCACAGAATGCAGAAAGGACTTC